GCCCCTATCCCCGCCTCTCCCCTCCTCTTACCCCCCTCCCTTCCTGTATTTCACCCCGCCAGGGCTCAGCCAATCAGAGCCTCCTTACCCTACTTAGGGCGGGACCTCGCTCTCTTCCCCACCAATCACAGCGCCCTCCGCTTCTCCCTCCACCCAATCGCAGCGCGCAGCTCCCGCCCGCTCGGCGCCCCATTGGCTCCCGCCGTTGCGCGCGCGCCTCTATAAGGGGCGGGCGGCCCGCGACGCTTTCATTCTCAGGTGTCGTCGCCGCGGGGTTCGCGTCGCTGTCCCCACCGCCGTTGCCATGGCAACCGCTCTCTGCCCGCTCCGCGCCCTCGGCCGCGCCGCCCTCAGGCCCCGCGACCGCCGCCTGCACCTCAGCGCGCCCAGGTAACCCCACGGGCGGAGGGCTGCGGGGGGTGGGACTGAGGCGGTGGGAGCGCCGCCCGCCCCGGTGCGGGCTGAGGAGGGGGCCGCGGGGATGGAACCCGCGCCGGGGGTCGCGGTTGTCGCTCTCGCCCGGTGCCGGTGCCCCCCGGGGAGCGGGGCCGGTTCTACCCCCCTTTCCCCCCCAGCGGCCGCGCCGGGCGGTGCAGGCTGATGAAATCCCGCGCCCGCCTTGCGTGGGTGTGCGCGGGTGGACACGGGTGTCCCCCGGGCTGCGGGGGATGGAGACCTCCACCTCAGGCATCCCCTGGAACGAGAGGGGCACAGCCCCCTGAGCGTTCCCCAGGATCGGGATTTAAACGGTGTGAGAGGGGCAGAGACCCCCTGAGCATCCCCCAGGTTAGAGGAACAGAGACCCTTGAGCGTACCCTGGGCACTGGCCCTGGATTTAAACGGTGTGAGGGGGACAGAGACCCCCAAAGTTCAGAGAAACAGAGACCCCCGACCAGCCCACCCTGTTCCAGACAGGGCTCTGAGCTCCCCCCGTAGCTCCCCCAGGCGCTTGGTGCTTCTTCCCCTCCCTGAGAGCCCAGAGCACCCCAATCTCAGGGAAAGATCCAAGGTAGGTTTTGCCTCTGGTTTAAGGAGTTTTCCCTTCCCTGGCTTGCCAGGCACTTGTCATAATCCCTTTGACATCCAAATCGGGGGGCTGGTAGTTTGGCACGGGTTTAGCTCTGAAGCTGGAACAAGAATTAGAGACCCAGTGGGCTGGGACTGGTTGGTAAATGGGTTTGACTGGAGTGGCTGCAGGTAGGGAGGAAGTAACACTTAATTCCCAGTAAATGGGGACTTCGAGTTTGAGCAGTTCTGGGAGTGGTTTTCCCTGGTTCCAGCTACTCCCAGAGCTCCAGGATTGTACCTGGGGAAGGTCAGAAAACAAGCACTGTTGGACTCAGTGCAGGATCCTGGGAGGGGAAGATCCATCCATGAGGCAGCTGAGGGATTTTTGAGGAGAAACTGCGGCAATTCAGCTCTTTCTGGTGGATGTTGAGGTGCAGGGAGGGTGCTCTTGGTGCTGGTGGGCTTGTGGCTCAGCTGTCTCTGAGTTCCTGGGGAAAGTGGAGGGGGTCGTGATGGAGATTGTCTGGGAATTGCTTCAGGAATGGGCTGGTTCCTGCAGTTTGGGGAGGCACCAGCAATGCCAGGAATGCTGAGGAGCATCTGTGCCTGCTCTGGATCTGAGGGCAGGGGAGGTGCTGGTCGGGAGGCCTTGCAGAAAGACTTAAATCATGGAATATCCTGAGCTGGAAGGGGCCCACAAGGATCATGGATCCAACTCCTGGTGGATCCTGCTCCCTGGGATCCCTGAGCAGGGAGAGAGGCCTTGGAGACAGGATTTTCCTGCGCTTTTCATGGGATTGGGAGCTCAACAAAGCTGTTCAAGTTGGGGAGCACGGGGAGCTCTGCTGGCCCCTGGCTTGGTGCTGGGGAGGGAGGATGGGCAGAGATCCAGGGATGTGGGAGGGCTGGGAAAGGCTGAAAAGTAACTTCAGGAGTTGGGAGTTTCTGCTGATTAAAAAAAAACAAAGCAACAAACCTCCCAAAACCAAAGTACAGAGCTCAGGGGAAACGGATCCTGCGGTCGGCTCCCGGTTTTCCTGCCCCAAAGCTGGGAGTTGCTGGTGCTGAGGGTGCTGATGGTGTGGTGGCCTCTTCCCCCCTTGCAGAGGTGAGGCTGTGGTGA